CGCTGCCGAAAACGGGTTGGAAACAGATCTACTTCGTGCGCGCGCTTGATCTCTCACTCGTTCGCACTCACTCACTCACTCATTCGAAGAAGGCGCCCTCGCTATTAACACTATCAAAAACATCAGCTCCAGCGCCTCGAGCGAACGTACGAACGAGCGAGCGCAAGCGAGCGCCGCTGTGGCGTGCCGCATTTGTGAGACTCTTCCTCCTCTTTTCTAAGTTGGTGCTTGCGGGTTTGGTGTGTCGGTTTTCCCATTTCAATCTCGTTTTCGTGGGTCTGTCCTTGCAACGTTGCTCTTACGTTTGCGTCCCGCTATCGTTGTGCTTCTGCCTGAAATCGCAATCAAGGAGAGGTCGGACTGTCGGAGTCCGGATTTCGTGTCGACTAGCCAGTGGACGCGCTATTAGCACTGCGCAGGTTAAGCCGGCGCATTTCAAGGTAACCTAAAAAGTCGCAAAGCGGCGGCAGCGGCAACGGTGGTGACCGACTCAATCACGCCGCTCCAGCAAGCGACGCTTTCTTTGTATCTTTGTGTCTTTTGAGACGTGTTCGAATATGTTCGCCTATAGATCGCGTTTGCGTTCGATTAAATAGTGTCGTAAAGCGTCGATGAGATCACTAATATATCAAGTAACGTTTCACCTCGTTTCGACGGACGCTATGGCCGAATCCAATATATTTCCACGCGAGTAACATCGTCGATGTTTGTCTGGGGAATAGCATCCATTTCTACTTTATCTATAGTTTTCTTATGAAAAAATTGATATGAGTGTGGTGAAACAATATAATTTGTTTCAAATTAATACGTGCAAATGAGTTGTATGTACTTGCGTGTGAAGTATTTACCTGTGTATATGAGATACACAAATAACATTTGCAATAAAATACAACAAATCTAATAAATTATAGAGGTGCATTATGCATCATGATTTTGCGATATATCGAGGGAGGGATGTAATACAGGTATAGTTGATATTTTTTATTGAGTATCACATTATGTTTTGCAAAAAGGCAGCTATTATTGATTAAAGTAAACAATTATTATTTGTATAAAAAGGTAGTGATTACTAATATAATATAATTTTATAATTGTATTTCATTAATATATATAAATGTATATTGCTAAAATATAAAAATTATGAATAACTATAAAACTATCATTTAAAAGTAAATGAAAGAAAGAGACATGATTGAAGAAAATTGGTTGATACTGATTTGATAGAAGGATTGTTCGTAGTCAAACTAGTATACATACTTAATATGAAATAGATATATTTGAAGTTTGGTGAAAGCCAAGTTTAGTGCAGTCTCGTATAGCTATAGAGAACAAAACTAAAAAGATCAATCGAAACAAATAAAATGTTATTATAATTTAATTTTAAAGTTATTTATGTATTTATAAGTTACGTTTATGAGAGAGAATTATCAAATGTGAATTATCAATTACAATTAATTTATAATTTTATAAATGTGATATGTTCTGACAAGAAAGGATATATCTATTTTATATTTCTTTGGTTAATTAATGTTTTTTTATATATTTTAGGAGACGGTGCTTACTGAGTCGTGATGTATTGGAGATTCAACAGTTTTTGCCCGAAGATCAACCGAAAGTTAGTGTTGCAAAAGCAGTTAGTGTGACAAAGCGTAAAGAACAACGAGAGTGCTAAAACGTTGTACTAGTTGGACTAGAAGAGACATCTCTATTGCGAGTGTCTTATCAAGATAGTTTTTGTCATCTACTATTGTTAGAAGGGAGAGGGAAGTAATTTTTCTTTGTAGTGACACTGAGAGCGCACAGTGCAAACAATAAAAATAGGGGGGGCGGTCTGCTGACCGATGGACAAACGGAAGATGATGCCCAAACGCCCTCGTATGGAGAATTTGAGGGGTCCAATTGCCAACGGACCGATCCAAACGCGACCACTGGTTGCACTTCTTGATGGCCGTGATTGTTCTATTGAAATGCCCATCCTCAAAGACGTCGCAACTGTTGCCTTCTGCGATGCACAGTCCACTTCAGAAATACACGAAAAGGTATTTAAAACAATTTGTAATAAAATAAAATTACTATTATAAGAAAGTATATTTACAAATATTAGAGACTGTGTGTGTGTATATATATATATATATATATATATATATATATAAAATTATACATGGATATTCTATAATTCTAATTCTGAGAGTGAAAGAGGATGAAAGTTTGATTAAAAGTTTCTTTTCCAATTTTGGTTCAGACCATTATTTACTGAGTTATTCACGATTAAAGTTGATCAATCAAATTCCACCCAGCTGGAGAAGCGCAGCATGCTATGGAGCTCCTCGCTTTTATTGTACATTCTCCCGATTAAAATTTCATAATTTTCATATTAATTAATAAATAAACGACTACATTAATAAATGGGTGGATAAATGAATAAATTATTTATTTATCTACGCATTTATTGATTTATTTATTAATATGAAAAATTATAATAAAATGTAATTTTAATCGGGAGAATGTACAATAAGAGCGAGGAGCTCCATAGCATGCTGCACTCCTGTATACTCCAGCTGGGCGGAATTTAATTGATCAACTTTAATAGTTAATAACTCGGTAAATAATAGTTTGAGCCAAAATTGGCAAAGGAACTTTTAATTCTAAATTTTATTCTCTTTCACTCCCAGAAATATTAATTAAAGATTGTGAGATATCCTGTATATAAATTTGAATATACGGCAAAATATTTTACAGTATTAAAGAATATAACACATTTTTTGATATTATGTTAATTGGAGTATACAAGAAAGAATATTGAAGTATTAAAATTAATAATTAATATTGAAATATTTCTATTAGAATGTTAAATATTAAAATTAAAATATCAGAGATAGAAAAACGTAGAGTGGTGTAAATTTTAAGTTAAATTATTTAAAGAAATTTTTAGTTTACAACAAACTGGTACAAAATATTCTTATAGAACAATTTAAATTAAATAAAAAATGATTTATAAAATTTTTATATTTATCCTGATATTTTGTACTTTTAATTTTTACGTTGGATCTCTGATATAGAATATATATTTATGCATATATTAAGAGAAAACATTTGATGAACAATACTAGCCAAGTATACTCTTTTTGTTGAAGTAAGTATATTTCTACGTAAAATGTTTTAATATCACATTTTGAAATATTTTAATTTTTTTAATCATTATTAATTTAACGAGTAAAATATTCATATATATAATTTTAAAATTAAGTAAAAAATTCAATGATATTGTTCCAACAATAGTGCATTTGTCTCATATTCTTTCTTTTCGTCCTTTTTCATAGTACTTTTTTAAGTAGTTAT